TTTTTTTTTTCTTTACAAGTTCTTTGTTTCTTTCTCTGGGCTCTCTGTCATCCTCAGCTCTGACGTCTGGGCTCGGAATATGTTCCAGTGACCTGGATGAGCAGAGACAGACGGACACTCATTAGCAACAACCCTCGGAGGAGGAAAACACAATTTACCCCACGCGTAGCAACCTTCACACTGAAGGATCTGCAAGGACCATGCTGGGAGAGAGGTAGCCATGGCCAGAGCAGCTCGTCAGTGGTCCCATAATCCAGTCCTAGACTTTGCCATCTTGCAATTAAAATGGTATTTGAGGTCAAGAGGGGCCCTATATACCTCCTGCAATGCAATTAACAGTACAACCAACGGCATTTCCAATGCTTTTCCTGGAAACTACTCCCACGCTCTTAAAAGAAAAGGAGCTCAGTCTGAAACAGGGATAAATCTCCCTCTCTGCCTCCTCAAAGGCTGCTTTAACGTGAGCTGTCAGGGCTACGTCCTCCCCAGTGTGTCTGGGATTTGGGCTGACTCCCTGCCTCTCAGGGGGAAGAAGCACTTTGCTTGTCCTCTGACTCATCATCAGAAAGCCAGAATTCACGTTTCGTGGGCCATGGGCAGGTGTGCTTCTCTCCTCCCTTCTGTCATCCCATTTCTTTGGGGTGGGTTGCTCAAAACCCCCACATCCATATTTGTTTTTCTGCTGCTGCCCCAGCCTTGGCTCTTCATGCAGGGCTTTGCAATCACCTACGGTTGGGGAAGGTCCTGCTGCAGAAGAAGAAACCCCCCTGGATCACCCCATAGCCTCACCGGTAAGCTGCAGACTCCCTGCAAAGAAAATGCACAGGAGGGAGTTGGGCAACACCCCAAAAACGAGCACAAAGCTCCCCGACTCCTCTCCTTGCTCCCGCAAAACACCAGCATCCTTGTACTTGCAGGAGGTGGCTGGAGGTGCTTTCTCTCTAGGTGGTCGCTTCCCCCATAATCCCAGCAAGGATTATGCAGCCCTAATGTCGTCATCCCCGGGGGGGGTTGTATTTTCTAGCTGAATTAATCTCCTGTTGTGAAGAAATCCCCAGCCAATGCTTTCCTAGAACTTGCGGCAACGGCAGAGGGATGATTTCACAACAGGGTTATTTTTCAGGGGAAACTGAGGCAAAAAGCAGTGGGCGCCTGCCAGAGACCCCATCAGGGTGCGAAGCCCAACCTGGGAGCAAGGACTTGAAAATCCCCCAGGGTTTGGTCAAGAGATGATGTCCTGAATGGGCTGGAGGTGAAAACAAATCTCCACCCTCCCTGGGGCACTGGAAGTGCTGGTATGTGCTGGGCAGCAAAGCCGTTCCCGGCTGACCCGGTGACCCGTGGGTGCTGGACAATACGGGAATGGCTCCGATCCGAACCTAACCCATTAAACTCTAACCCAGCCCAGGCAAAGAGGCAGCCAGCGGAAAATAGCACGGCAGTTTCGCTCCGCACAGGCACTCTCGGCATGTGCACTGG